CATGGCTAGATCGACTCGGCTAGTGATCCTGATCAAGAATATATATACTTTATGGGGTCGGAAACGCTTCCTTCTGCCTGTTACATACTTTCCGACGAATCTAGTATACCCTTTTACTCTACGAGTAACGGGTATAATAATTATTATATACGTATGGTTATATGTAAATATGATGAAAGCCGCTACCAAAAAAAAATTAAAAACTTTTTTTCTATATTATGAATCTGGTTAATTTTTTTTTTATTTTGCAGATTGACTTTTACATTTCACAAAAATGGATAACTGGGACACTGAAACAAGAATTTGGATTGTCCGCCGCTATCACGTACTGGAGTCCGTAGTTTCGGTTCTAAGAGAGTATAGGCGCACGTTTGGCGGCAATCCTTCGAGCAGATGGACCATAATGAGACTTGTAAACAATTTTGCCGAGCATGGGACAGTCAACAGAAGACCTTACCATCGAAACCCTTCGGTTCGAACGGAGGAAAATATCGCTGCTGTAGCTGCTGCCATACAAAACAATCCACGTGTTTCGACAAGAAGCTTATCTGCTCAAATGGGTGTAAGCAGACAGTCAATACAGTCAATTATGCACAAAGATTTGCAATTATTCCCATATAAAATTCAAATGGCCAACAAACTGAACGCTGCAGACTTGCCGATTCGCTTGGAATTTTGCCAGAAGATGCTTCAAATGGTGGAAGAGGATGGAAACATGTTGAACTGTCTTTTCATTTCTGACGAGGCCCCCCAGTCGTAAATGACAGCATTCCAGCATGCGTTCTTTCATTATGAAATGGCATCAAAAAGGTGTTCCGGAAGTGATGAGTCTGTCCATTCTTTTTACACGGGTGCGGGACAAAAAAGAATGCACCCGTTGCATGCTTCTGGAAGCATATATCTGGAATGCACCTGGAAGTAACAAACTAAACACATTCTGGGTGCACTCTTTTTTAATGAACCTGGAAGCAACATACTAAACACCTTCTGGGTGTACTATTTTTTAATGCACCGGGAAGTAACAACCTAAACACATTCAGTGTGCACTCTTTTTTAATGCACCTGGAAGCAACATACTAAACTCCTTCTGGGTGTACTCTTTTTTAATGCACCTGTAACATATACCCAGGAATGCACCTAGAAGCATTCAAAAACCAAATATCTGGAAGTTTTCCCCAGGAACACATAAAACTGGATTTCAATTTCATATTTATTTTCATTTCAATATTCAAGAACGCAACTAATTTTTAATTGGAGTAACTCCCCTTCTGTACGGTGCTTTGGTGCTTCCTTCTTGTTTATGTTCTTTTGTCATTTACGCAGTTCAGTCCTTGGTGTGCCAATTCATTTTTTGCGATTCTGAAAAATATAAAGCAAATTGAATATTATATATTTTGAAATATGTGTATATACATTACAAATATACAATATGTTTATTTTGTATGTACAATTTACATACAAATAGTTATTATTTTATTTGTTTAATATGTTTCTAGTTTGAATGTTCAGTGTACATGTACTGTGTGTTCATATTGAACTAAATTATCTACACTTTACTTACCTGTGAAAATATTGATGTAAAATTGGTGGCAGAAAGCAACAAACTTTTTCAAAACACGTGGCACGAACTTCACTTTTCAGAACTAAAAATGCTACTGACGAGAAATGCAAGAGACAAGAAAAACCGTTCGCTTCCTTGTATGTTCCCTTTTGTCTTTATTATTTGTTTGTCAAGAGAACAGTTTTGAAAAAATACGATTGTAAAAAAATGGGCATCGGCAACCTTCGGGTTTGAGTTTTGTTTTTACATTCCCACTAAAATACACCTGGATGCACTATATTGAAATACACCCAGACGGCACCCAAAAGACTGCCCCCAGCACGCACATTTGCTAGGTAAATTTGCATACGTGTTGTTTTGCGTAAAAAAGATTCGACCCAGACCTATTTGCTTCGGAATACGGTCCCGAATACCCGTTTGGGCATTCTTCTGGATGCATTATTCTGAAACACTTCTAGAAGGCACCGCAATAGAATGCACCCAGCACGCACATTTGCCTTGCAAAATTTGCATGCGTGCTGTTTTGCGTAAAAAAGGTACGACCCAGAACTATGTTTTTTTAAAACACGTTCCGCAACTTACGACTGGGCCATTTCGATTTAAACGGCAACATAAACAAACAAAATTGTCGAATATTGGTGCTTCCAACACACAGATACTCCATGAGACGGAATTGCATCCACTTCGTGTCACACTGTGGTGTGCAGTTTCATCACGCTGCATTGTCGGGCCCTACTTCCAAGACGAAAACGGTCACACAGTTACGGTTACTGGAAACCGTTACTTCAGCATGTTAAGAGAGTTTTTCTATCCAGAATTACGCCGAATGAGAATTTGATGGTGCAGCTCCTCACATAGCCCAACCTGTTATGACAGAATTGCGACGAAAACTTCCCAATTAGCTTGACTTTTTCTTGTGGGGTTATTGCAAACAGGAAGTTTATAAAGCAAAACCAACAAATTTGAATGAACTAAGGCAATCCATTCGAGAAACAATTGCGGCTATTCCTGTCTCAACTCTCCAAGCAGTAACGAACAACTTTTTGGTAAGATGCCGTACATGCATCAACGAGCAGAGGGAGCATTCAAATTCCATTTTTTTAAAACTAATTAAGCTATATTTAATAAAATTGAATGAGCTTTACATGAATAAAATAAAATGAATTCCATACACTGAAAAAAAAATTATTTAAGTTTCTTAATGTAGCAAAATTCATCAGCCACCCTGTATATATATATGTAATATGCGCTATTACAAAGATTAAATGCGATTCACTTTGTTAAAAATTATTTGCACAGCACAGTTCTGGTGTTTTTTCACAGCGCAAAATGTACAAAAAATCAAACGGCCGGCTATGCACTTTTATATGCACATATGTATGTATGTTCGTGTGTTTGTGACCGAATGCACGATAACGACAGCAAACAAAGCGTTTGTTTAAACTTTATTAAACAATCGCGAGACCGAGTTGCAGACTCCGCTTAAAACTGCTATTACGTCGGGGTCACCAAATGATTATGGGGAAGACAACAAATATGCCACCCTTATATTTATAACTTATTACGAACGAAAAGGTTATACGCCTATCCCTCACTTTGCGTCGGGGATACGTTCCAAAAAAATACAACGCAAATTGAAACGACGCAAAGTGAATTAGGATTTTCTATAGCAAACCATGTAAAGTTAAAAGATGGGTTCCAAAAGTACTACTTTTTAAAAAGAAAATTGAGCAAAGTGATCATTAAAAAAAAAAACAAAATAACATTTCATTTTATTACATATTATATGTACATATAAAAACAAAAAGAGACTAATTCATTTAAAACAAAATAAATCTTCAATTACATACTCAATTATGAAAAATAAAATTAGAATTAATCACTCTCTGACGAGTCTTTAGTGTCTGTTGTCGTAGGCCGGCTTTCTTTAAAAAAATTGGTCCAATGTTTGCTGAACATTTTTATACCCGTTACTCGTAGAGTAAAAGGGTATACTAGATGCGTCGAAAAGTATGTAACAGGCAGAAGGAAGCGTTTCCGACCCCATAAAGTATATATATTCTTGATCAGGATCACTAGCCGAGTCGATCTAGCCATGTCCGTCTGTCCGTCTGTCTGTCCGGATGAACGCTGAGATCTCGGAAACTATGAGAGCTAGGCTATTGAGATTTGGCGTACAGATTCCTGAGCTTCGTGGCCAACTTTTTTTTGTTCAATCGATAGGTATTGACGAGACTAATACATTACAGTTAAAATTTGTTTTCTAACACCCTTTTCCTCTACGAGTAACGGGTATCAAAAGTTTGCCCATAATTTTCAAAACGATGGTATATACACAAATCAAAAGTGGTAGAACTAAAGATTCTTACGTTAAGCTGTTCAGCATAATCTACAATTTTCAGGACAATAACAAGAAGTTTGGAAAAAAAGTTAAGTTCTCAGGCAGTGTTAGATGTTCTGAACTGGTAAATGTGGCCAATATTGTTGATTAATAACTTTAAACTTTTTTATTTTGTCGCATGTCAAAAGTTGAGAAATCTCAAGGGCTATACACATTGAGGATAAACTTAAAATCGTTAGAGCCGTTTATGAGAAGTCCAAAAAAGCTTAACAAAATCTCAATAGAAAATACTTTTGACCATAATTTTAAAACAGCGGTATTTAGACAAATCATATTAGAAAGACGTACATTGCATTTTAGAATACCTTTCCAGTGACGTATAGCAAGCATATAGATTTAGTAGTTCACAAGTTACGGGTGTACGGGTGTTCCCACAAAACTAACTTTTTTTTCCAAAAGCAGAAGAACTAAACTTTCTTATATTAAGCGGTTTAACATCAACTAGAGTTTTCAGGACCTGAACTAACGTTTTGGGACAAACTGATAAGCTGACAAACTGAAAAGCTGACAAGCAAAATAAAAGTTTCGTTTTGAGAAGTCCGCCAAAAACTTGTGTTGTGTATAACATCGCAGCATTGGATTTTAACAAATGAGATGTCATTCGACATTTAAGGGAGAATACAACTAGACTAATACCGCTTTTTTTAAAATCTTGGTATGCAATACTTTTAGTTTTTGGGATACCTTCCGATTAATGTATTACTCGTAACGATCGAACAATCACAGTGGATTTTCATTTCTTCGTGTATATATAGTAGTCGCCTTCGAAGACTCTCCTGCCGCGCTTCGTGACTGCATGGTCTGCCGTCCACAGAGATTTGTCAACATCTATCGACGTGCTAAACGTTGATATAATCGGACCATTAGTTAAAATGTTAAATTAGTTGGCTAAGTAGCGGTTATATGATAGTCAAGGAGCTCGACTATAGCGTTGACGTTTTTTTTTTACGGTGAATGGTCGCTTGTTTAAAGGTTACACTGGCCATGGGATTGTAACATCGGTGTTGGCTGGGCAAATGTTTATTCCTACTATTTATGGTATTTAGGTCAAACACATTTGACCAGGTTGCATCTGGTCAAATAGGTACGGAGCGAGCTCAGTGACTATAAATACGCGCTGATCGATCAGTCGGGCAGCTTCTCCGCTTGCACTTGCCACAATGGATATTTCAGTACTGCGGCTCTACCTGCTTATCGTGTCCGTTTTGCTCCTTTTCTTGGTGCCCACTGCCGAGTCCACCGTTCTCCTGTGGGCCTGCTTATATCGGCTGGAAATCTGTCCCTTTAGGACCACTACAGTCGCTGGCTAATAATCGGGATGAAAGCAACTGAATTGTATTTCCGATAAGCCTAGACGGTCAAAATATCCTAAGTCAAAATTTGCAAAGCCAAAAATAAATAGAAAAGCCTCCTTATAATTCCAATTCGTTGACTGCTGCCCTCACCCCTTTACGTTCTGCTGCTTAAGTAAGAGATTAACTTTTCACTTGACGGAAAAGTTAATCTCTTACTTAAGCAGCAGAACGTAAAGGGGTGAGGGATTGTCAATAGTTACTTTCGCTAATTGGGTGTAAATCTCGCTCGACGGCGGCTTTCACAATGGCAGCTGTCAGTACGTCTCCTGATTGCTTGTCCCAAAGCCATAAGCAAGCCCACGCTTGCTCATCTCATCGGTAAAATTGAATAAAACCAATTTAGCTGCCGTCCAGACAGGCAAACTCAACTCAATCAAGATTCAGCTTATTTTGTTTTTTCAAAAATAAATATTTTTTTAGCATACCTATAACCAATTAAATGGCTATAAAACGTTGAGTAAAATATTTATGAGACATTAAATAAGTTCATAACAGAATGGAGACTAACAAATTTTTGTTACAATTGAACAATAAACACATACTGCCTTAGGACTCGAGAAACTGAGCAAAGTTTGTCAATAGTTACTTTCACTAATTAAGGGTTAAGCTCGCTCGTCTGTGGCTTTTATTTCGGCCGCTGTCGGCCACAGTTTACTTTTACAAAAGTTAAAGACACATACAGATCTGCTTATTTAATGTGTTGAAATTTAAAGATCAAATTTAGTTACAGACAATCAGAACGAACTTAAACAAATTTACTTTGTAGAAAAAACTTCTTGGTCGCTGCTGAGGTCGGCACCCACTATTTCTCGGGTTGCAGTCGAAAGCGCTACCGTTGCACCACAGAGGTTCACATTTAACTAACTAACTTATGGTTCGAATTAAACCATTTTTAGCATGCCGATATATATTGAAAAATTATGAAAAATAAAAGTAACACAAAAACTATCTTAAGGTGCCATTCGGCATACATTGGCCGCGTTCAGTAGAACAACAGAACTGATCAACTTCCTACGATAGTTCTGCTGAACGTATATGATTACTAATCATAATGCAAAAATTCCTGCATCATGATCAGTAAAAAGGAGCGTTTAAATAGTAAGCTAGCTTTTAGTGATACATGATACATTTCTGCTGGCGAGTATCGATGAGTGATATATCGATAAGAATTAACAGAACTAATATTATACCCGTTACTCGTAGAGTAAAAGGGTATACTAGATTCGTCGGAAAGTATGTGACAGGCAGAAAGAAGCGTCTCCGACCCCATAAAGTATAAATATTCTTGATCAGGATCACTAGCCAAGTCGATCTAGCCATGTCCGTCTGTCCGTTCGTCCGGATGAACGCTGAGACCTCGGAAATAAGATCTAGGCTATTGAGATTTGGCATGCAGATTACTAAGCTTCCTACGCAGCGCAAGTTTGTTTCAGCAATGTGCCACGCCCACTCTAACGCCCACAAACCGCCAAAACTATGGCTCCTACAGTTTTGATGCTAGAATAAAAATTTTAACAGAAATGAATTGCCCTCATCAATACCTATCGATTAACCCAATAAAAGTTTTCCACTCAGAAATGTATTAGATTTGTTAATACCTATCGATTGATCAAAAAAAAAGTTTGCCACGCCCACTCTAACGCCCCCAAACCGTCTAAGCCTGTGGAGCCCACGATTTTCATGCTAGAAAAAAATGTTTACTGAAATGTATTAGTCTCGTCAATACCTATCGATTGACCCCCAAAAAAATTTGCCACGCCCACTCTAACGCCCAAAACGCCTAAATCTGTCTACCGCCCACATAACCATGAATTGATATCGCGGGTAGATGGCGCATTTCAATCTCGCTCTACTGCTTGCATATCTCTATTTCCCTTTGGTCTTTTTAGCTGAGTAACGGGTATCTGATAGTCGAGGTAATCAACTAATGCGTTCTCCCTTGTTTTATTTATTTAATTTGTTTTTAGTTTGAATGTTCAGTATACATGTACTGTGTTATTTTATTGTGTTCATATTGAACTAAATTATGTGCACTTTACTTACCTGTGAAAATATTGATGTAAAAGTGGTGGCAGAAAGCAACAAACGGCACGAACTTCACTAAAAATGCAACTGACGAGAAATGCAAGGGACAAGAAAAACCGCGCGCTTCCTTGCATGTTCCGTTTTGTCTTTATTATTTGTTGTTAAGAAACAGTACCGGAAAAAAAGCGATTGTAAAAAAATGGGCATCGGCAACCTTCGGGTTTGAGTTTTGTTTTTTACATTCCCACAAATACACCTGGATGCACTATATTGAATACACCCAGACGGCCCCAAAAGACTGCCCCGCACGCACATTGCTAGGTAAATTTGCATACGTGTTGTTTTGCGTAAAAAAGATTCGACCAACCTATTTGCTCGGAATACGGTCCCGAATACCGTTTGGCATTCTTCTGGATGCATTATTCTGAAACACTTCTAGAAGGCACCGCAATAGAATGCACCCAGCACGCCACATTTGCCTTGCAAAATTTGCATGCGTGCGTTTTGCGTAAAAAGGTACGACCCAAACTATGTTTTTTAAAACACGTTCCGCAACTTACGACTGGGGCCATTTCGATTTAAACGGCACATAAACAAACAAAATTGTCGAATATTGTGCTTCCAACACCACAGATACTCCATGAGACGAATTGCATCCACTTCGTGTCACACTGTGTGTGCAGTTTCATCACGCTGCATTGTCGGGCCCTACTTCCAAGACGAAACGGTCACACAGTTACGGTTACTGGAAACCTTACTTCAGCATGTTAAGAGTTTTTCTATCCAGAATACGCCGAATGAGAATTGATGGTGCAGCTCCTCACATAGCCCAACCTGTTATGACAGAATTGCGACGAAAACTTCCAATAACTGACTTTTTCTTGTGGGTTATTGCAAACAGGAAGTTATAAAGCAAAACCAACAAATTTGAATGAACTAGGCAATCCATTCGAGAAACAATTGCGGCTATTGCGGCTATTCTCAACTCTCCAAGCAGTAACGAACAACTTTTTGGTAAGATGCCGTACATGCATCAACGAGCAGAGGGAGCATTTAAATTCCATTATTTTTAAAACTAATTAAGCTATATTAATAAAATTGAATGAGCTTTACATGAAAAAATAAAATGAATTCCATACACTGAAAAAAAATTATTTAGTTCTTAATGTAGCAAATTCATCAGCCACCCTGTATATATATATGTTAATATGCGCTATTATAAAGATTAAATGCGATTCACTTTGTTAAAAATTATTTGCACAGCACAGTTTTGGTGTTTTTTCACCAGCGCAAAATGTACAAAAAATCAAACGGCGGCTATGCACTTTTATATGCACATATGTATGTATGTTCGTGTGTTTGTGACCGAATGCACGATAACGACAGCAAAGAAAGCGTTTGTTTAAACTTTATTAAACAATCGCGAACCGAGTTGCAGACTCCGCTTAAACTGCTATCCCGCAATCGGGCCCGAACTCACCGAGAGGCGAGCAAATTCCAAGTTATTTTACTTTTTTTTGGAAGAAAGTAATGAGTTCAAATATATTTCGAGTTCGAATTTAAACCAACTAGCGGTGATTTTACGTACAAAAAATACAACTGTTAGTTTTTACTTTCTGTTTCACTTGTTTTGTTTTCGCGACAAGACGCAACTTACGGAGCGTAGAAGCACTGACACCGCGACCTTAGAAGTCGGATTCACAAAAGAAGTAGGTTTTGCCACGGAGGTGGACTTGTCCATAGACTCTTCACAGGGAATTTCACAGCGATGCAAAAACGCGTCTGCACTCCACGAAAGCATGATCGAGACTGAAAAAAAACAGAAAAGGAAGTTAACTTCGGCAAGCTGAAGCTTGTATACCCTTGCAGTTATAATTATTACATTTAAAAATATAAAAAATGATATTCCCAATAGTATAAGATAATATGTCAGAAAACACCGAAGCTATAATTTGTTTCATATTATTTTCCAACCAATTTTCCGATTATTCCTATGGGAGCTATAAGATATAGTTGTCCGATTCGGCTGGTTCCGACTTATATACTACCTGCAAAAGATATAAGGCTTTTGGGACCAGTTTCAGTCCGATAGCTTTAGAACTGAGAGATTAGTTTGCGTAGAAAAGGACGGACAGGCGGACATGGCTAGATCGACTCGTCTAGTGATGCTGATCAAGAAATACATACTTTATGGGGGTCGGAAACGTCTCCTTCACTGCGTTGCCAAACTTGTGACTGATATCATAGTATCCTCTGCAGGGGCATAACGATTGCCTCGTCTTTTACTAAGCAGAAGGGAGTGCGAGGGGGATGGAGATATGCATATATCGCCACCTTTTTTCATCTTCTATATCGCCACTTGGCCTACAGCGCCAACTAGCCTACAGCGCCCGTAGAGGCTTGGTGGCGTATTAGCGAAATAGCTTATTTGCTGCATGTGGTGTGCAATTCGATGCACAATTTTGATTATTATTTGGTTATCTTTTAAATGACTAGTCCGACTCAATTGATAGTACTAACATAAGAAAAAAAATGTCAGTTAACATTTTACAAATATTAAAAAATGTGGGCACTACGGTAACGGGTTATAAAATGGGCAGTGGCTCCTGCAGCAAAAACAGCTTGACATAACAATATTATAAATAAACAGAAATTCGGAAATAATTCGAAGACGCCTGCCTAGTATAAATTGGTGGATAAGTTACCCAAACTGCCACAAAATTCCATTTATTTTTAAATAATTTTTTCTTTTAAAATGTGCCGTTCATAATCTTAAGGCATACCCGCAAATAACTGCATAATTTTTTATTGGAAATTAAGCCTCCTTAACCAAATCCAACAAATTTTTTCCCATTCCGCTTTGTCTATTGTGACGTAATGGCCTCCACATCTAGCTATCTACCTCTCTGGCATATAAAAAATAGCCAAGCCGTTAAGTGTGACCGCATACTAACAAAATACCCCCATGTAATATTTAAAAGTCGATTTTAAAAAGGCGTCTAAGTCAAAGAAGATGTACGCATAAATCTAGTACAATTGGAAAATCTCAATTTTTAGTCCCCCTAAAAGTGTTAGTT